ATCTGATTTACATAAAAATACACTTCTATTAAGGACGTATTTACATGAAAACGTTTTACAACAAAATCATGAACAAACATATTTGACCTATCTTTGTGGGTTCCAAATTATTCCTGATATTTAATTAAGTGTCCTTTTTCAGGACGATTTACATATAAATGGTCAGGAAATGTAATTAAATATAGAACTAATGAATTAGTGTTAAGCTTCTTTTTACAGGACGATTTGCATATAAATGGTCAGTAAATTGTATTAAATCTAGCCATGTTGAGACATGCTGATACATATCGTGGACATCATTGTCTCTGACGTCATGATCACCTGTTATGGCAGCCTAGCAATGTGTGCCTAGCAATGCACCCTTTGGTTCCACTTCGTGGAACTATTACGTAATAGTCTCTGGCGTCATATTGCCTGTCATGGCGGCCTAATAACGCACCTTCTCTGATAAGATCATTATCTCTACCACTTCCCTTCCTTCCCTACTGCCTGAGGTAGACACATTTGTAGGGCCTTCTAACGGCATGTTGCGCGGGTAATGCCCTACCTATTGTCGTACCAGTGTGTTACGTTTCTTAGAGGGCCTGGCATGGCCTGGTGGTTAGGGCACTCGATTTGTAATCCGCGGGTTTCGAGATCGAATCTCTACCTCAAATATAGGAGCATTATAATGTGATGGTCAATCCCATGTTTAGTTGGTAAAGAGTGGCCCAAGAGTTGGCGGTGGCTGGTGGTGTTGAATAACTGTGTCCCTTCTAGCCTATCACTTTTAAATTACGGACGATTAGCACAGTACTCGAGTAGCTTGATGCAAAATTCAACAAATCAAACAATGCTTTTTAAACATATAAAGAATAAAGAATTCTTAAAACCATTGGATTGAGCGTGGGCTAGTGATTAGCATGTTCAGATTGTGAAACTGTCCATTTTCGCAAAAACAATGCTGCGCACTTTGAAGCCTAGAATACTATGTAAAATTGATGATCCAATCCTACTGTTCGATCAGACAAGTTTGATTAGGTTTGAAATTCGCGCAAAGCTACACGGGGACTATCTCGCTAGCCAACCCTAAATATGCAGTGATAGACTAGAGGTAAAGCAACTGGTCAACACTACCCACCACCAACCCTTGGGCTACTCTTTTACCAACGAATGGTGGGATTGACAGTCACATTATTACGTTCCCACGACTGAAAAGGTAATCGTGTTCGATGCCGGGATTTCGAACCCGCGACCCTCAGATTGTGAACTGAGTGCCTTAAATACCATGCCATCGGTCAGACAAAAACAGTTCAAAAATTGTTGACTAACTTCAATTCCCTCTTGTTTACAAGTTCAAAATTAGGACGGCTATGGATAGATAGCCTTTGTGTGGCTTTGTGCGAAAATTTACAAAAATAAACTTAAAGCAATTTTCTAAATTTAAAAATATTAACCTTAAATAAATGAGCTCGTTGTGGTTCAATAACTTCACGTTGAGTTTTGTATAAATTTCAAACAATAAAGAATCGGTACGTCACGCAAAGAAATATTAGGGGTGGTCAGATATATATAAATCACTAATATTGCTAACAAGCTAAGAGCACCTATTTTTCGTATTGGGTGAGGTAGATTTTATATGCATATTATATGATTATATATGTAATGTGAATCAGGAAAAAATTACCAAGAAAACAATATGAAACATCATTATCAGAAAATTTATGCTTGCTTTAATACAGGTAGATATTGCTTGTTTTATTAACAACTCCAAAACTTGCTAAAAAATATCACTTTTTAGCCAACTTGACAACTTTTCGATCTAAGATAATTACATAACTAGTTTTATTTCAGTTAATTAGATAACTAGTTACACTTCCCTTAATTGGATAACTAGCTATATTTCCGTTAATTAGATAACTAGTCACATTTCAGTTAATTATCTAACGAGCTACATTTCAGTTAATTATCTAACGAGCTACATTTCAGTTAATTAGATAAAGAGCTACATTTCAGTTAATTAGATAACGAGCTATATTTCAGTTAATTAGATAACTAGATACATTTTTTTGCGTTAGTTAAATAATTAACTACTTTTCCGTTAACTAGATAACTTTTACAGCTCAGTTAATTAAATAACTAGTTAGATTCCAGTTGATTAGACAGCTAGTTACATTTCAGTTTAATCGGATTGATTAACCTCATTTAATTTCACGTATTAATAGTATTAAATAAAATGTATGGTATTGATCATATTCTGGAGGTTTAAAAACTATTTAATAACAAAAGTAAGGAACACCTATATTTACAGAGCTCCACGACTACAAGTATTCTGTAACATGGAAAAACAATACATTACGAATGTAGATATTATCTTACCTAGCAGAACAAATAGCTCTAGGATTTTGAAGACAAAAGCTGGACGAACATTTAGGTTCACAGAACAAGGAATGAGCTTCCTGGGCTGGTAGTTGATCTGGTGGTACTGAAAGCCAACAATTCACTTATGAGTTATTATGGTAAGTTCACCTTTGTAACTATTTTTATATCTATTAAGATTAATAATGAAACTATGACAGGATTTCTTTATCGATTTTAACTAGCTTAACAGTGGTAAAATAAAATAAATAATATTATGTAAATATTTCATAACCTAAATATCTGATGAGTAAATGACTTAAATAAGATAATAATAAATACATTTCATTTGCTTATTCTAGTTTACACCATAAAAGCCGTTGTTCGCGAAAATTGATGATATAAGTAGCACCTAGACCACTATTGTGTCTATTCTATCCAAGCACTGGTATTGAGCGAAAGGCCTTGGATATGGCTGATATAGTGCGTTTGACATATTATAGTATATTCTTCTTTGCTTTCAGCCATAATTTCTTAGAATTACATCTCATTATATCCTGATGTAACCTAGGTATGAGATAATATATCATGCAAATCACACTAAATTTGGAAAACATTTCTGACTATGTTTCCTGTTTGGATCTTGATAATGTTCAAGCTGACGTATAATGTACTAAGTGTATTTCCATAGTGTTCCATTTCAAGAGTATATTAAACCTCAATTAAAAGTAACAAATATTCTTATTTCTTGCTTTTGAAGTTCATATGTCATACTGTGTTGTAATCTTCAGAGTGCATAATTGTTCTCGTGATTCATAGCATACGCACGTTTTACTGACATTACGACAGTACAAATTGCAACGTTAAGCTTCCCTTATGTGACGTCATTTTAGTGTATACTGACTGACTGGCAGACAGATAACACACTACTGTATAATGGTGTGAGTGGTAAAAACAGGTGACTCCTTCAGGCGGCCTTCAGCCCCTTTTCGAAGAAATTAGAGTTACGCTCAAATCATCTGTGTGTCTCATGGAAGGAAAGTTCGGTCGAACGTATAAATTCGAGATATCTGCAGAGAAGTTGTCTCTAACATGTTTTTAATTTTTTATTCTCTTTGATCTAAGATATAAATCTTTGATTGTGATATTCTCACTAGATTGCACCGCTAAATTCATTTTTGTTTGAATCGGCCAAAAATAGTTGGATACATTTTGTGTTATTAAAATTAGAAGTTTGCATATATGTAACATCTATTCTCCCCTTCCTCCTCCCCCCACTCGGTGGTTCAGTGTAAACCTGAGAGCTTATAACACTAAAAATCACATTTTGGACACAATCACTATTGCTATTGAAATAGTGTTGAAAGTACCTATGATAAGAATATGAGAAGCGACATGAATATACTTAGCACCTTTACACCAAAACGTATTCAGTATTTTTAACCTGAACACCTTATGTGACACGTGGTCTGAACAGCGATGTCAGAGTTTCCCATGGTAAAGGCATAGTCATCTCTAGTTTTGAGCTGCTGATGAAAATGAGATTGGAATTAGCTGTCACTTTTATAACGCGCCCACAATTAAAAGTGGGGAACGTGCTTAGCAGAATTGTGGGTATCTAGCCTGGTGCCTTTAAATCCACTACCAAGCACGTTAAGCTACAGTACTAAGCCTAAAGCACTAAATAAGCAATCAGCTGTAAACATTCACTTTTTCCTAGAACAACACTACCATCTATAATTAATTAAAGTATATTTTATTTGTCTGTAAATACAAAAAAAAAAATTTTGTTTTAGAAGCAATATGCTAATTAATTTATATTACGATACCGACAATTTTACAAAAATACCTTTCCAGTTAACTTTGAAATTATAATTAATTATAATTCTTAACATTGTTTAACGCAAACTGGAGTTTATTATGAGACATTTCTATAAACGTAAATAAAATCCCGACCTATATCTCCAGAATGTAAATTTATTAGCTCAATATTTCGCTATTACAGGTTCATCAGGAGCTATCGATATCCTACAAGTTCACTAATCCAGTTAAATCTAAATTAGAACACTGTCATTCTTAAATCGAACATTGATACACGTGTTTAGAATGTTCATATTATATTAAAATAATAACAAACATATATAATATAATAAGATGTTTAATATAGTATGAACTTTCTAAACACGAGTATATTAATCTTAATATATTTACAATTTATTTATATGACAATATTCGGCCTCTATGGAATGTAATAAATACATACCTTAAGTTTTTTTAGTCCCAACAATACTTATGAATCTAATAACACTAACACAGCACGTTTATACATCATTGTCGTCCCATGTTCCATTTCAAATTTCAATCAGTTACACATTGTTTGTTTGATACCTGTTATCCCTGAGAAGGACTATCATTCAGTCCAAAAGCTAGGAACAAAAGAAAACTGTTTGTTTATTAACTAAAAAAAAGGTGTTTGTATAAACAGTTTGTGCCTATTTTCTACAGTCTTACTTTTAAACAAATAAAGAGCTAAACAACTATCATACGTGACTGTTTTCCTCAGTAAAGTTGTAGGTTTCATGCAACTAAATAAAACCAAAAGTTATTAAGCACACACCTGCGATAATTCAATTTTATTGCAGTTCTCTTTAATATATATATATATATGCGTGTGTGTGTTATTAAAGGGCAAAATTAAATGGTGGATTAATTCCTAGAAACATATTGGGTCAACAATTTTAGAGCGTTTAGATATTATCAACAATATCATAGACGTGTGACTCAACAGTTACAATGGTAACAGCTAAGAAAAATTCACATACGTTCAGAGTCTATCCCGAAAATAATTGTATAATAGTGAGCAGACTAACAACACTTTCAAAGAATGTATTTTCAAAAATCTAAGTGAAACCACCATATACGAAAGTATCTATCTCGCACGAGCTGAAATATTATAATATCCTTTTAGTCAATAAAGGGTGATAAAACGTTATCATAATCATACATATGACTGTCCTGAGAATTTATAGAAATACCGTATACAATAAAACCGGACTGTAGTTCTTTCGAAATGTTGGATCTTAAAACTAAATATTGTAAAACTTTACTTACAGATTATGTTGAAACTGAATACTGTTTTATTTTCTACTTAATTCCTTTTGAATGATAAAGCAAGATATTGCTCTATTTTAAGTAGGTTCTCTAACAAAACATTAATTGTCATATGTATGATATAACAAATATTGTGCTACTTTATATATGATGTAAGTAATATTTATATTATTCCATTTGCAACTTATAATAAAACTATTAAAACTAACTATCTTGCAATTTTGTCAGGTCTTTTTCATTGTAATCCTTCTCTTTCCAGATGGAGCTTCTATACCTCAAAAATACATCTTTTTAAAACAATATATAACTTCTCACAGATAAAATGTACAAGATATCAACTGTTTTATTCTCTGCATTTAACCCACTAAACTTGAAATTTCCAGATTTGTACACAGTTATGTAATTTCTGAATTACCAAGGAAAATTAGCTAAATTCGTTTATTTTGCGGTAAGGGTAAAGTGTAATTTTTATTGAATCTTTTTTCCACCTATTATCTCTCCAGTTTATCATGGGTCCATTCAATAACCCCTTTCAAAAAGAAAAAAAAAAACCTGTTTTGGCTAAAATTACTTTTAATGTAGAAATATAGCTAAACATATCAAGACCTTTAAACAAACTCTGTACATTTTTTTATTTTTTTTTAACTGCAACCACTTCGGCATATAAACATCACTTAATTTCATTATCATCAATATAGCTCTTCGATATAACTGAATGTTTTCTGAAATACTTGGTAGTGAATCTACATCAAAAACAAATCAAAGTGAAGACATTAAATCTCCATTTTTATTTTAAGCTATCCCGTTGTTGATCTAATATTATTCATTACACTTCTTCACAGAGCAGGCCTAAATCTCCATTTTTATTTTAAACTATCTCGTTGTTGATCTAATATTATTCACTACAGACACTTCTTCACAGAGCAGGCCTAAATCTATTTTTCTTGATCCGTAGCATGTAGTCATCACCATAATTTTAATATATATAACATAATGTTTATTTGTTGTTGTTTTTACTGTGGAATAGTTTAAAACTCTAGATAACAAAACGGATTAATAATTTTACTAGAATAAAAGCAATTGTGCAGATGAGAGCAGAATTAAGTAAAGGTATTTGTATATTTTAATAAGAAAAAGTTTGTCAAGGTAATGGGGAAGACCCTACCCCCATAACTGAACAAAGTGAGTGGTTTGTGTAATACATGAAAAAGCTAAAAAAAACAAGGAAGCAAAGTAGACCAATAAGATATAGGGGTAGATAAAACAGTGCTGAATGAAAGAAACCAGAGTCATCACTATCAAGTAACAACTTGTGAAACTAAAATATAAAAAAAAGCCAAATGTAATAAAACGATACAAACAGTTTGAAAAAAAAGACTTAAAGCTAAACGGAATTCTTTGTTGCAATGCGAAATTAAAATAAAATATCAAATGAAGTATACAACACTGAAATTAAATAAAAAGGGAAGCGTAAAGAAGAATCACGAAGTTAACTTCGAATAGAACAGTTCCAAGAAACCAGGATCTATAACATCACAGTTAACGGTGGTTAGCGGCCATATTTAAAAATATTATTTTATTTCTTTGTAAAAATTACTGAATACAATAACTGGGAGTTTAGGAAATATAATTTCCAGATTGTCATTAAATTTAAGAAGTTATTTTCTTTTTAGATTTAGAAATATGACATATTCAGACTACAGTTTAAAAACGTAATGACAATGGTTTTTGAAACCGATTTGTATCCGAACGGTGACCGTTAGGGAACGAAATGCGCTGTAGCCCAAAGTTTGCTAGATGGTTTAAACAAACAATAGATATATTAGACACCCAGAATGTATTGCGTATGAAGACTTTTTATCACACTGATGTCTATGCGAGATAAAGAAACTACATTGACTTACCAACAGATCGATGAATTGTTGCTTCGTAGTTTACATCTCATGTTAGTAACATGGATGACATTTGTAACTTGAAAACCTTTGCTTCGCGATTTAATTTTATAATTTTCTTACG